GGCCTCGCTTAGGCCAGGGCGGCCTCGCCGGGTGTTGCCTTTGGCTTGGGCGATGCCTGGCAAGGCCATAGTGGCTTGGACGAGGGCCGGCCTTGCCAAATCTAGCAAAGGGAGCCCTCGCCGGGGCTTGCCCTGGCTTGGCCAGGCCCTCGCCTAGGCAAGGCCAGCCCGCCCGGCCTTGGCCGATGGCCGGAAAAAGGAAAAAGAAAGAAAAGAAAGAAAAAAGAAAAAATAATTAAAAACATAAAAATATATATTAAAATATTGTTAAAAATTGTCCACGTCAACGTCGACGATACCATGTAGGTCGGCCGACATCCATATCAGCAATATCCGGCCAAAATTAGACGAAAGGACTGAATTGGCACTATGTGAAGAGATTTAGGACTAAATTGACACAAATGCAATATATTTTGGACTTTTCTGAAAATTTTCCATAAACTAAATAAGCAGCTAACTGAATTTTCATATGTAGAAGAATCAATCTTCAACCAACATTCAACTCCATCATTTCCATGATTAAAGGCTATCTAGCTCCTGGTTGGACTATAATATATTTGATTTAGTATATATTTATCAATCAAGTGTTAGGTCTTCGGGTTGGATCATCCAAGATTCAATGTATAATTTTGAGAAGGCAAGTTCTTTACAGCACATCCTCCTCCTATGTACAACACTTGTGCTTTCGTTCGTCATTACTTGTGATTGTTTGTACGAAACCGACTTAGAAGTAATGTAATACAATTTAAATTGCCCCCATCGATTTTATAAACCAACTGGGGTGTCAATGAGACAGATTGAGTCGACACAGCTTAATACTGGCAAAATTATCCAAAAAATCGTAAACTTATTGCACTTTTGCTAATTCAGTCATAAATCTTTCAGTTTTACTAATTGAGTCTTAAATATTTTCACGTTTTACCAATTAAGTCCATTCAATCAATTTTGATCAGAAATCACGGACGTAGACACTGGCTTTCTTACGTGACATGGTCAGTGTTGATGTGAACAATCTTTAATAATATTTTAATATTTTTTTGAATATTTTATTTATTTATTCTCTTCTTTTTCTTTATCTTCTTCACTGCTTTTCTACTGTGGCCAGTGGCTGGCGGCCGCGCGATGGCCTCCCCCAGCCTGGCAAGGGAGTTTCGGCCCTCACCCACAACCGGCAAGGGCGCGGCGACCATCACCTAATGGCCAATAGGCCCTAGCCACCGGCTACAGTAAGAAAGCAGCGAGGAAGGAAAAGAGAGAAAAGAAAAAAAAGGAAAAATTTTAAAAATTTAAAAAAAATGAAAATATTATTAAAATTGTTCGCGTCAGCGCCGGCTGCGTCACATAGGATGATCAGTGTCCACGTCATCAATTTTCGGCCAAAATTGATCAAATGGACTAAATTGACAAAACTTGAAAAGATTTAGGATTCAATTGGCAAAATTGAAAGGTTTATGATTGAATTGGCAAAGTGCAATATGCTTAGAAATTTTTAGACAAACTTAATACAAGAGCCTCACTCGAAATTATGTACCAAAAAACACCCAACCCATTCACCAATAAGAGAAATTACATAATCAAATCACTTTAAGACAAAGTCTAGTTTTCGAGTCAACCCACGTACAGAGTCGGGTCTTGGCCACCAAGTCAACACGCCGAGGCTTCCCCGGCACCTGTATGCAAGTCCAGTATCGAGCCCTCCGCACTGTGTATTTCATCGAAATGTCGTAAACTAGCTACTAATTTTTCTTATGGTTCCTTCACATTTGATAATATGGCTCTCACTCTAATATCAGGCATAAAGCTCCCTTAATTAGGTCCGGACTCTGCATCAAACCAGTCATTATCACCACAATCATTCTCATCATCATTGTCGATAATCATACTTTTCCTGATTTGCTAGATTGTCTCCCTAGCTAATCAGGCCTCCAGCTAATTCTTCGATAGAACCCACTTTCCCCCTTGATCAAGGTTTGCTCCACGGTGATGTCAACGTTTTTTGTGTGATGATTAGTTCACAAATTATACCTCACCATCATCATATTTATTGTTATAATGATTCGATCTTTGTATTATACAAGTGACGCTTGATTTCTCTGCTTTTGGCTTGATGTGGTGAGATCTTTAGGCAATTATTATCTAATTTGGTGGTGGGATCTTATTATTGGAGTAATCATTAGATCTGCCACTCAACTTGGAAGCAAGTGGCACCGAGCAATATTTGGTGCTTTTTGATTAATATACTTATTTTAAATAAATCTAATTACTCCATTGAATGCAATTATCAGTCAAATATCAGGGTATTATCTTTTTTAATTTATTAATCATGTCTTCTTATATATTGGAACTTTTCTCACAGCATTTCGTGTGCTTTCTTTCTTCTTTTCTTTTTTTTCTCTTTTATTTTTCCCCTTTATATACTTTGGAATGGAATTTTGGGCACCCCACAAGTGACGATGACCTTTGAAAAGAATTTGCGGGAAGTTGATAATTCAATGTAATATACAAGTTAGAATTAATGAGTGCTCCGCGCGTCGCGCAATTTATAAAATGTATTTGAGTAGTTTTGAATTTTGAGTTAGCCGATAGTTCTGCATTGAATCTAATTAAGTATCAGGCAATTTTCTATTCTCCATGATTTTACAATTTTCGCCTTCGAAAGAAAATGAAAAATGAGATTGAAGTTTTAATGTATGATCAAATGGAGAGCATAAGAAGGAGATCTCCTTTCCAAGATATTTTAGCCTTGGAAGAGCACTGAATTGCACTCAAAAGTACAGATGCTATTTATGCAAAACAACAATGTTGGAGGAACCATCATGGCTTTGTCCTAATGATTACCACTTTTAATTAAAGAAGATGCTAATCCATGGTTTGCTTTTATGCTGTGGCTGGTTAAGTGGGTCTTCTTCAAGCTTTCAACTCTTATTGTACTTTGCATGGCATGTCTCCTTATGTCTAGGTATGCTTAACATTTCTAACCTACTTCAAATGCCAGTTAAATAGGTCACAATCAAATCTAATCCAAAAACCTAGTAGCACAAAGCTTCCTATTCAGCCTATCCTCTAGATCCTATATCCCCCAAGAAATGAAGCCTATAGATATCCCACAAAATGAAAGGACCAGGTTAATTCACTGCCATGCATGCACCTTCCTAGAAATAGAATCTAGCTTTGCCAATGTCATAATCAAGTGGCTAATCCTACTACTTTTGGAAAGTCACTATTAAAGAAGGGAAAAAGCACTCTGTGTACCATCTTATCAGAGCTTTTAATGCCATTATATAGCTGTAAAGAAACCATAATTTCACATTCAATAAGCCCTTGTCTTTTCTTTTGTCACATTCTTCGCAACCTCCTTTCATGGGTTTCTTGGATTATCCCTATTCCTCCTTCTAGTGCTTTCAATTTTTTTTTTCTAAAAAGGTTGTCCAAAAACAATTGGGTGCCTTGAGGGACCCCGCAACATAATTTCATTTTGTATGGGGGTGTGGATTGAAGATCTGTTTGTATGGTGGTAGCGCCAAAATGATGGTTGCTATTGAATAAGGAAAAGATGATGATAGTGAGAGGTCACTTGCTACAAATGAGCTAAAGTGGTTTGAACAGGTCTCATCACTTTTGGGTGCATGAATGGAGGGGCGCCTTATTATTTATTTTTTTTGGTAAGGTAGCGCCTTATTTTTTTTGGCTTTACTAAATTGCATGTGTTTTGGAATTGGAATCAATAACTTCTTTCCCACAATTTCATGGCTTTTGTCCCCTTCTTTGATCTTCATCGCATCCTTTAGAAGGTTGATATTAAAGAAGGAATGTACTACAAGTGAGTATGTATCTTCACAAATGCATTACATATGATATTTTCTATTAGGAAATTACAAAATAAATACCAGGGAAAAGTTAAAAGATCTCTGCTTATTCTCTTTGCTTGATTTGATTATGGAGTTAGATAACATGTCGAGTCGATTTCTCGTGCATAGACTAAACTCGTTGACACACCGGCCATTAAGAATGTGTTAGGGATTATCTCCTAGGCAAATAAGCTTCACCGAGTGGATTTGATTTAAGATCTCATGGTTAATGAAACCAAAAGTTCAAGTCTTATTACTGGCCAGCTTGGGCTAATGTCTTAGGGGATTATGCAGTAATCGATCCATTATCTTTAGATTGGTTAGTCCACATCATTCAAAATTCTACAGTCACATGTACATAACTTCTTCTTTTATTTAGGGAACTTTAGTTCTCGAATCTCTCTTATTGCTATGTACTACTTCTCTGCTGGTTTAATAACGCGTACGCAATGATGTCCTAGTTGCAATTGCAAATTTTTCTTTTTTTTATTTCCTTCTTGGTCAAAAGAATGGAAAAAAAAATCACACTAGCCGTTGATGAACTGGTAGATATACACAATGATAGAAATAGTATGTGCCCACACGTAACAGCACACCTAATCTTCATTCACATGTCCTACATGTGATGTCATTATGTACGTAATACCACGCAAAGGTTATATATTCGGGTTGAGTGATGAGTAGGTTTCCTGGTCAATATACTATAGATTTCATTTTTATTATTTTTTGTTGGTGGGTCTTGAAGAGCAAGATTGGTACAAAAGGCAATTGACAAATTGCTAATCAGCTGCACCAAACCCGGTTTTCGTTATATATATAAAATCCAAATCAACACTCGCAATTAAGTAATCACTTGAAATCAATTTCAGGTGGTGTGTGCTCGTATATTACAGCTAGATCTAAGTAAACCCCTCGTCTTGCAAGAAACTTAACCATCTCTCTCTCTCTCTCTCTCTCCATCTCTAGAAATTTGCCACACTGAACACTTTCTTGAGTGACAGAAACTCGACATTTTCCAAGTGGGTGTTCTTGGATTTGAAAATCGGGAAGGACGGCGTTTTTCATTGAACAAGAGGGTCAGAATCTTGCCTGAACATTAATTCACGGTGAATTGAGTGGCCTGAGCAGTCGCGTACGGAGTTGCGAAGTAGATTTGCAAAAAACTCAACGAGTCATGTCACTCAATTCACGATGGACCGAGCTTGGACAAGATTTTACCTCGATAAGGACCTCGCGAAACATGTGTAAAGAGCAAGCAAATCAATCTTAAGCACAAAATGAAAATATGATTCAATGGTCTAGAAGTGATCCCACGACAAATACGGCTCCTCAAGCCGAGACCCTGAATCTGCCGCACAAACCTGCCATGAGAAGGAAGGACAGAATCCAAAGCCGTTGGGTTGATCCACGCACAGATCGGGTAGATCAAACAAGGCATCTTCATAGTCATTTGCGCTACAATTGGTTGATTCTTGTGAAGAATTTGTGTCGGACAAGGAGCTTTCGGAAGCATCCCGGCTCAGGTTGGCTCCCAAACGATCCTCGGCTCCACGCTCAGACGGGAGAGGCACGAAAGCTGCGGCGGCCTTCGTGGCAGCTGCTTGGATGTCCTTCGGGGAAGTTGAGGCTGGGCGTGGGAGCTCTGGGGCCAGCTCGGGGAAGTTGAGGTAGGTCGAGCTGCCCTTTATGGCCAATGCGGCTACGTCGTGGGCCCGGGCGGCCATCTCGGCTGTGGGGAACGTCCCGAGCCAGATTCTCGACTTCTTCCTCGGCTCACGGATCTCGGACACCCACTTGCCCCAACTCCGCATTCGGACCCCCCGGTACGTCGGGTGCTCGCCGGAGCCCCCAGCCTTGCGCCTCTTGCTAGTTGGCTCCTCCAAGTGGGCGCGCGAGCTTGGAGACTTCCCTGGCCCCTTTTGAGAAGCGCAATCCTCATTTCTTTTGCTTGGTTCTAGGGCCGGATCCAAGCCGGCCGATGAGGTGGAGGAGGAGGAGGTTGTCGTGGCTACCGTCACAGCAAAGGAATAGGAGGCGCATGAGGTGGTGGTGGTGGTGGCGGCGGCGGCGGCGGCAGTGGAGAGTGAAGATGAGCTAGGAGAGTTTTCCTGGGCACTACTCTCCATGTTGATATGTTGTGCCATTGGAGAGAATTCACGCTCAAAATGGACGCTGTTGGGCTTTTTATGATGCCTCCTCCACAAATTGGAAAATAAAATTGTTATATATAAGAGAAAATGGCACAAATAGTCCATGAATTTTGACTCAATGTGCAAATTGATCATTGAACTTTTAATTTATTCAATGTAGTCCCTGAACTTTAACCCAATGTTCAATGTGGTCCTTAAATTTTCAATTTGTTCAATGTGGTCCATGAACTTTTAGTACATGTTCAATTTAGTCCCTAAACTTTATAAAAATGTTCAATGTAGTCATTCCATTAATTCAAGTTCATAGACTATATTGTACATTTTCATATAGTTCAGGGACTAAATTGAATATGTACCAAAAGTTCAGGGACCACATTGAACAAATTAAAAGTTCAGGGATCAAATTGCACATTAAGTCAAAATTCGAGGACTGTTTATGCTATTATCTCTGTATATAAAGAGAAAAGCAAAAGAAAAAGGAAAATTAAATAAAGGAAAGGCAAAAAAAAAAAAGAGGAAAAGGACATAAAAGAGGAGTGGACCCATTGCACTAGTATGGGAAGGAGAGGGGAGATCTCATGATACAGTTCATCAGCTATTTTGTTTCCCATGCGGCGATGAACAGTAATGCATCGCCCTTGGCCTTGGCATGAATCATTATATGCTTATGCTTCCTTACATGCAATTTGTTAACCTTGGCTTTGGCCTTTTCTTGTGTCAATGCATTGTCCCTGTTTGAGGATGTCCCTAGTTTGAATCCTCAAACACACTTTGTTCTTTTTCACGTGTACGTGCACCTTGGGAAACATTGGGTCATCTCTTCTTTCGCCCCCGCCATGACCAGCCTCCCCATGTTCGGATGCAATCGAAATCCCGGGCAGATCTTCTCATCTCTTGGCGATCAACCGTCTTTAATTGAATTCGAGAGACGGCCCCTTTCAAGACCATATACAAATCGACGTTTAAGGTCATTTGTGACTCCGTAGAAATTTTATACAATTTTTTTGGAAAAAAATTACCTAATCAATCATAAACCTATTGTACGGATTTCAATTTAATCCTAAACTTTTCGATTTTGCTAGCTTAGTCCTATACTTTTGTACAAAATTTCAATGTAGCCCTTCCTTCTAGCCAATTTTTGTTGGAGATCGTTGACGTGGCAATTGGGTCATCGCCGACCATCTTACGTGGCATGTCACGTTAGGGATTTCCGACGAAAATCAGCCAGAAAAACTACATTGGAATTTCACGAGGAAAAAAATATAAAAAGTCGTTAACCTATTGTATTTGTACAAATTCAATCCTAAACCTTTCATTCAAACCAATTTAGTCCTAAACATTTTCGCATCCGTGCCAATTTAGGCCGGAAATTGTCTCCGTGAACATTGACCGTCCTACATGGTACGGTTGGAACTGATATGGACATTTTTTTTAGTAATTTTTTTATTTTTTAGAGGAGAAAATAACGTCCAGAACATCATTAACCCATTCGAGACTCCAAACACATCACCCAAAAATCAAACAAGAGATCAATGCTCGAAATTCAACATCAACACTAAAAAAACCCTAGCTGCTTTCTCTTCTCAATCACCTCTCTCAGGTTCCTTTTTTCTCTTCCACTCCAAACTCCCTCGGCTAAGAGATAACTCTCAATTGAGCGAGACTCTATTTTCTCAACTGGAATTGAGATTTTCTCTCTTAAAATGACCTATTATCTTGGTTATCTGGTTTTTTGTTTTTTTTTTCTTGCTCACTATTGATGCTCTTCTCTGCTCGCTTGGCGTTTTTTCTGCTTCCATCGTTAGGAATCAACTTGCTACTTCAGATCCTTTGAACCAAGAAGTCCGACGGGACCGAGGAGGAATACGATGAGTTTATACTGCACTATAAGTGGTTATACTTATACGACTTCTCTGAGTTTTGGAAGTTCTCATATTCCGATCTAGATTATATGTGGGATCTTTTCTCTCCCAATCCAAATTTAGATCTATGAGTTCCTTAGAGATGTTTCTGTGTTTATTCAATCTCTCCCGATCTCGATCTAAATTTGGGAGCCTATTTAACTTGTTTTTAGTTTCTCTGTACGATGATGGTGTTGAGAACGCTAAACCTAAGCGTGCACTGCCCACTAGGCAAGCCATAGCTATTGAAGAAGGAATTTATGATATGTGCTCATCACTTATGATGATGCAAGTTTTGGTGATCGACCGCCGTTCGTTCTACTTTGATGCTGAGATAGATTTTCTTTTTTGGATGAGAGTGTGTTTATCACAACAGTTTGTGCTTTATTGTTCTACTTTACCATTTGGGATTCGCTTTGTTTTGAACCTCTTATGTATCATCTTGTAATCTTGGGATGTGCATGAAATATTTGCTTTCAACAAAAATAACAAATTGTACATCGGATACGAAAATCCACACACACTGATTTGCTCAACTTGGATGTGGAAATCAAAGTACCGGCGGGAAAAGCCATTCAATTGCAAATATACAGGGGATGTCACACTCACACCTCATAGAAACAAAATAACGTCATTTTTTGAACCAAAATAAAACGAGTAGATCCTGAAAAGACTTCAAAGAACCATTTCGTGATCGGAGGAAGCGGTTCAAATTGAAGGGTGGACCTAGAATCGGAGTGGAGAGGGGAGGCCATGAAGAACCTAGGAGATATGAGGCCAACGCTGGCCACTCGAGGCATTGTGAATGACGTCAGCTTTTGCGATTCAGCTTCAGGTAAGATCGCCCTCGCCCAGGCAATGCCCGGAGAGGCTATCCAGGCCTGGGTGAGGGTTGGCCTTACCCCTCGCCAGATCTAGGAGTGGGCCCTCGCCGGCCACTGGCACAAACAAAGGGGGAAAAAAAGAAAGGAATTTTTTTTTTAAAATATAAAAAAATGTTCATGTTAGTGCCAACTGCGCCATGTAGGACTACTGGCATATGCATCAGCGATTTTCGACCTAAATCGATTGAATGGACTGAATTGACATAAATGCAAAATGTTTATGACTAAATTGGTCTAATTGAAAGGTTTATGACTATATTTATATCAATGCAATAGGTTTATGACTTTTTTTTATACTTTTTCTGAATTTCGCGCAAAAGCGAAGGAATAAATTGGCAAAATAAGAAAGCTTATGATTGAACTGTCATCCTTTCAATAGCTCTAAGATTGATTGAACAATTTCTCCTAATTTTATTTTTGAAAATTTGAAATCAACTTCAGCAAGATGGTCAGTCAGTCATTATTGGATGCTAGGTCCAAACGGGTTTACGCGCAGCCACGCTCGAAACCTAATTTGAAAATGGTCGATTTCGGAAAGGATTCATTTACTTGAATTAAGCTTGGGTTAATTAAATCGAGTGTTACCACCAGATGCATATATTGGCAATCGTCCTCCAAATTGAAAGTTCACGTTTGATTAAGTTCCTCAAGAACGATCTTAATTAGCCACATTTTAATTATGACAAGAGAAACCACATTTTAATTTAATTAAGAAGAAATTATCAGAAGAAAACGGTCGGCCAAACGGGTCGTGCTCCACCCCACCATGAATTTCATGTGGCATCAGTCTTGTCAGCCCTACCCTGGTCCTCCATTCGCGCCTGTTGTAGGTTTCCTCGATGCACAGCATCTAGTTAAATCGATTCTTTTATCCTTTTCTCGAATTTCCCCCGAAAAAACAAAAAGAAGAAGAAGAAGAAGAAGAAGAAGAAGAAGAAGAAGAAGAAGAAGAAGAAAGAAACCCTTTATTTTGCCTTAAGTTTCGTTTTCATATCCCCCCTTTAAAGGATGCAAGCACATGCAAACACTAACACCAAAATTAGGCATCCCACGTTTTGACCCCATAAGTCTCTCTAACATGTCTATTTATGAAAATCACCTTTTCAAGAAAGAAAAGAAGAAGAAGATAGAATTATGATTGTTTTCTCTATCGATCGAACCCATCGAGCGCTACCTTCCGATCGTATTCAGAAGAAGGAAAATAAAATTCTCGACTCCTACAGGACTTGAATCAGGCATCGTGAGGCCGAAACTGCATGCCCGGGTGAATTCAGAGAACGGCGCGAATTCTAGGTGGCCGGTAAACCCAGAGAACAGCACGGTCACGCAACGGGCCCGAAGGCGGGGGCGAGAGTCACGACGTTGAATCGGTCCGATCTGCATTTCGAGACCGCCCCGACACTCGAGATCTGGCCGGTGCAATACCCAAATGGCCAGAGACAAAGACAAGAACAGAGCCTTGGTAGTATTGAAATGCAACACATAGGAAAAACGTGCCGCAAATGGAAGTGGCAGCGAAGGTGTTCGACGAAAGCCCAGCGAGAAAGTTCTCACGTGGAGGGGCTTTGGTCATTAGGGAAGGAAACAAGCGAATCACATGCGCCAGTCCCCCCAAATCATTTGCCTTTGCCCCAAGTATTCTTACTACCAAGAACGCCTACCGGCCGTCGATTTTGAAATATTAAATTAAAATTACATCTCGAATTTATTATTTAATTTTTCTCCCTTTGGGTCACCATAACACATGTTCCATCCATGATTTGCGACAACCTTAACGGCGCTGCGGCGGATCTAGTTTTTGCGAAATCGCTAACACATGGCCACATGAGTGGGGCCCAATCCAATTCAGCATCGAAGTGGGGCCCCATCGCCCTGCTGGTCAATGAGTCAACAGCACGATAATCAACCCTTTTTTTCTCAAATTTTTTTTTTTGGTTTTTTATATGTTTTCTTTTTTGGCCCTTTTGCACATTTATTCTCGGGGGTCTTTCTCGAAGTACAGGCTTTTGCCGAGAATTATTGGTTGGCTATGGTAATTCATTGACAGAGGAATCAAGTCACACATACGCATGTGTAAGAGTTGTTCTCGATTTAGCTTTATATGGGCTTTGCTTTGCTTTTTTTCATTTTTTGGGTCCTTTTTCTTTTGCCTTGAGGTCATTACTAAGATGGAAAATTAAAGATGGGGGAAAAATCGAGTTGCTTTTCTTTATTACCTTCCCGAATCTTGGGGCGATCGACAGGTGTTAGCATGTCGTGCTGCATCGGAAGAC